AAATTTCAACCATCACTCTAAATGCTAAAAGCTTCAGTTGACTAACCTCATGTTTGCGGATGATGTTCTCTTATTTGCAAGAGGGGACACTATCTCTGTAGAACTTCTTCTTAATGCCTTCACTAAATTTTCTAATTCTACAGGTATGCTGGTCAATGTTAGCAAGAGCAAAATTTATTTTGGCTCTGTGGACTCTAGCACCATGAATCAGATTTTAGCTTGGTCTAAGTTCAAGGAGGGATCTCTCCCTTTTAGATATCTTGGGATTCCTCTAACCTCCAAGAAGCTGAGTTGCAACCATTACTTGCCTTTGGTGGATAAGATCTTGGCCAGAATTAGTCATTGGTCAGCTAGACTCCTTAGTTATGCAGGGAGAATTCAATTGGTAAAATCTATATCCTTTGCTATTGCTAACTTCTGGCTTATGGTTCTCCCACTTCCTAAAGTTGTCCTCAATAGAATTGATTATTTGTGTCGGTCCTTTATTTGGTCTGGAACAGATACTGCAAGTAGAAGGAGCTTGGTAGCTTGGGCTACAGTCTGTAAGCCTGCCAAGTATGGTGGTTTAGGGATCACTGATCTTTGTATCTGGAACAAATGTGCTATGTTAAAATTACTCTGGAATATATGTGCCAAATCTGACAGTCTTTGGGTGAAGTGGGTTCACGCATACTACTCGAAGGATTGTAACATCATGGAGGCTAAGGCGAAAGTTTCTAGCTCTTGGATTATGCGTAAAGTCTTGGACCAGAGGACCTTTATTCAGTCTAATCCCCGTATCTGGTATGCTTTAATTTCCAAGGGTTCCTTTAGCATACGATGTTGTTATCTGGAGATGGTGGATAAGCATCATGTCTCGTGGTTTAAACTGGTGCAGAACAACCCAGTCAGGCCCAAAGCTATGGTGATTTTCTGGTTGGCATGCCACAATAAGCTAGCTATCAAAAGTCGCTTGTGTAGATTTGGCTTCATCACGGACAGCAGTTGTTGTTTCTGTCCTAATATGGAAACTGTTTCTCACCTCTTTTTTGATTGTGTGGTCACTAGGAGGATTTAGTGTGAGGTGCTTGCGTGACTCCAAATTCAACATCATGTGCCTAAAGCTTGGGAGGAGGAGCTTGAATTGGTCATCAAGAGGGGCAAGGGTAAAGGATGGAGGGCCTGCCTGATTAAACTTGCCATTGCTGAAACAATTTATGGCGCTTGGATTTATTGTAACAACACTTGCTTTGGGTCGGGATTGGATTTGAGTCATGTGATCAAAACTATTATAGATACCATTGTATTTAGGGGATGGCATTGTAAAATCTTAAAAGGTAGGATTCTCAGATTAATGTTGCCATAGGTCCTTTGGTTGGCTGGATCCACGCGATCGCCGTGTATTTTTCTGCTTTTTGGTATAATACAAGTCTTTATCCCAAAAAAAAAAGTTTATTATTTCGTTTTTTCATAAATAAATAAATAATTTTATTGTTTTATTTTATTATTTTTGTAAGATCTATTATATACTATTTAAAATTTTAAAAAAAATATTTTCAAAAATATAATATTATTAAAACCCAAAATAAATATAAATATGTATAATATATTTTTAAAACTGAAAATTGTATTCTTAAAAATAGAATACTATTACTTTTTTTTTTAAATATTATTTTTTAAAAACAGAATATTATTATTAATATTATATTTATAAAAACAGAATAATATATATTTTAAAACAGAATATTAAAATAACAAAAACACAGAATATTATTATTTTTTAAAAATCAGATTATTATTATTATTTGTAAACATAGAATGTTATAAATATTTGTAAAAACAGATTTTTTTTAAACAGAATATTTTTTTATTTTATAAAACAGAATATTTTTTATTATGAAAAACAGAAAATTGTTATTTATTATTATTATTATTATTATTATTATTATTATTATTATTATTATTATTATTATTATTATTATTATTATTATTATTATTATTATTATTTATTAAAGCAGAATATTATTATGTAAAAACAGAATTTAAAAAAAAAAACCGAAATAAATATAAATATGTATAATATATTTTTAAAACTGAATATTATATTTTTAAAAATAAAATACTATTACTTTTTTAAAAACAGAAAAATATTATTTTTTAAAAATAGAATATTATTATTAATATTATATTTATAAAAACAGAATAATATATATTTATTAAACAGAATATTAAAAAAAATCAAAAAACAGAATATTATTATATGTAAAAAAAGAATATTTAATTTATTTTATTAAACAAAATATTTATTTATTTTATAAAGTCAAATATTTTCATCTCAATATTTTTTTAAAATTATATTCTTAATTATGATTTATTTTTAATTGAAGTTTTATGCGTAGTAATTAAGCTATTGATAAAGGAAGAACTCCATTAATACGTACAAGAGCTTTACGAGAGGATTTATCGAGGAAGAGATGGAGAGTATAGCGACAACCGTGCTAGAGATACTCAAGTAAGATGATATTAATATTTAAATGTTATATTAAAAAAAATTTAAATAGATTGTCTAAATTCTATTATTTAATTTAATTTTTTAAGTATGTATAGGTGGAGTACTAAAGATTGAAGGTAGCATTTTTAGTTAAACATTCTGAGTTAGGTGGTCCACGGGGACAACATCCTCTTGATCCAACTATTGATCAATTTCTTTGGTTGAAAGCATGCAAGGGAAATAATATAAATGGAAAGATTTATGCTACTGGACCTTTAGCTGACAACTACAAAAGAGGGGATAGGTATTCTTTATTTAGGAGAATTGCAAGCGGGGAAGGGTCTTCACGTCCTCCGACATTAACCCCTAAAATTACTGAAATAATTAGGCAGTTAGCTCAAAGTGAAGCAGCACGTGAAAATGAAGCATTGAGAAAAAATAAATGAAGTTGGAAGAAGCATTGAGACTTTCACAAGAACAAATAATGCTTAAACAACAATAAATTCAACAACAAATACAACAACAAATACAACAACAAATGCAATAATAAATACAACAAATATTTCAACAACAATATGGTGGTGACAGAGTTGGATCGGTTGGTAATTAAGGAGCGGTAGACGTGAATGAGAATGCTGAAGAATACGAAAATGATGAGAACTATATGGATCCATGAATATTTTTGAATTTAAATATTTTGAATTAATTATAAATTTATTTATGAATTTTTTAAATTAAATATGAATTTAAATATTTAGAATTCATTATAAATTTAGCATTTTTAGAATATCTGAATTTAAATTATTTATTATATTTATATATTCTAAGTATTAATTAATATTTAGAATAATAAAAATATTTTTGTATTATAATATTTACGGTTTGCATGGTGTTTTAAATTTGTCCAAAACATTGGCAAGGTGAATTTCACCTTGCAAGATAATGAATATTTAAACTTTGTTAGGTGATTTTCGTCCCGCAAACTTTTAAACAATGTGTTTACTCTTAATCATATATCTGGTCTGACACGCGTGTCTCAATACAACTCTATAAAAAAATTGTAAGGTAATAACCACCTGACAAAATTACGGAGTGATAACTTTCTGACAAAGTTGCGGGATACTTATCTTCTTATAAAATATTGCGACTAATGTTCTTGCGAGGTATTAGGTCCACCCCATAATTATTATGTTGCTGGATAATATTTATGTTTGTAGGATTTTATTCACCTAATAGATTTTTTTTTTGTAGTGTGCACGCACGCATAAGAGCTGAGAATTAAAAGGGGAGAGTAATTACATTCACTTACTTACTCAATGGTCATATTATAAATGTTTATATAGCTATATAACTTGTACTATAAGTCACCTACTAACTTCCACTCTGTAACACTATTAATAGCCTAATTTTAAAACTCAAACTAACTATATGTTATACTACAAGTAAGTACAATTTGTCCAAATGAATTATCCACAACAATAAAAATTAAAAATGCATAAATGATAGAAGAAGATTGAAAACAAAATTTGTATAGCTCATTTTTTTTTCTACATACTAATTATGTATATATATTACTATTTCTTTGCAGTGGTCGGTTTGAACTGACACATGCTTTTAATGTATATGTGAAATGAATCTATGGAAAAGAAACTAATGACGAAACAATCAAATTAAAATGATATACAAGTTTATATGAAAAATAAATAAAAAAAGTGAAGAAATTGAATTATAACAAGAAAATTTGTGTTTTCCCGCATGAATTACTATCATTTTTATCTCTGTTTTAAATAAAATTTATACACTTTTAACTTATAAAAAATATTGTCTATGTTTTAAATTAGATTTATACACTTTTAACTTATAAAAGTATTATATTTTATATATTTAAAATAAGAATAAATATTTACTTATATTCAAATTTATATGTTGTTAATATATAATATAGATAATTTCAATTAGAACAAACAAATTTATGTTATCGTCTCTATTATAATTTATGAAGTTTTGTTATCTCTTTTGTTAAAATGATAATTGAAATTAAATAATTAAAATATTAAATAAAATTGTTTTTTAGTTATTCTTAATGAGTATGTAAGAATATGACACTCAATTTTAAAAGTTAATGACACTATGGGTGGGAAGAGTTTGAGAATACTAAATTTAATCTTAAAAGTTTGAGATGGAAAAATTAATAGAAACATAGTGATTATACTATAGTGTGATGAGTATGGTGAGTTTGGTTTGAGAACCACTCTTTAAATATGATTAATTTGTTGTTATTATTTAGGGTGATTGATTTAATTAATATAACACATCTTACTTAACATTGATGTGCCCGTAACTAAATGGAGAAGAAGAATTTAATAAATGTAAGTATTAATTGAATAATAATTGAACATTGAAAGGGTTGATTATTTATTATCAATATATATCAGCCAGCAGATGACATATAAGATAATAAATCTCTATGATATTGTGTTAATAACATTAATCGCACAACATAGAGACAAGTAATAAATAAAACAACACTCTAGTTATACTTTTGTGCAGGCCTGGGCATATCCTTGACGATACCGCAAACTTGTTGAGTCTCAGGAAGGTTATACTCATCCCTGTTGGAGAATTCCGGTGACAGAACACTAACGTAGAGTTGTTGTCCCAAGTAACGGTTCTCAGCATGCTCTGACCTCAAATTCCACATACCAGCATTGTCGAATGTCAACATGATTGCAGCCCATGATTTAGGGAACACCTGAATTGTGTGTCTGCTGATTGCATCAAGAAGGTTGTAGTTCTTTCTTTTCTCTGGTGTCCATGTTCCTGGCTCAACTGCGACAGCAAAGAAAGAGTAACCGTCTAGGTTGTATGACTGGACGGTCTTTCCATGGTTCTCGAAGATGACCTCGATGAAGGTACGGAAAGTGGCGTTGATGACGTTAGGTGCAATAGTGATGGTGTTGAGAATGGCCGGTGGCATGTCGGAGATAGTGTCGTACTTGAACACCTTATCGGCAACACCATAGTACTCGGCGAGCTTCAAAGGAGTTTCGGTATCAACATGGGAGACACCGTTGATAGCGTACCTGAGTTTGCCATCGACTTTGCTAACAGAGTTAACAAGCTTAATGGTGCGGGTGATGTTGATCTGACCGTAATGGTAAGAACCCTGAGGGTTAGGTCTAGCAGCAGAAGCAGTTAAGTTCCAACGGAAGGAACGGAACTGGTTAAGAGACCAAGCCCAACCAACAGGTGCAGGTGGAAGAACAGGTGAAGCAGGACCCTTACCGTTGGTGTAACGAACAATACCCTTAGCGGTTAAAGTATACTTGGTGAAACGAGTGGAGGCAACCATGTAATAATCCATTGGCTCTTTATCGGCGGTGACGAGGACGGTGTAACACTGTCCAACGTGAACGTCGAGAGAGTCATAGTTGTTTTGAACGAGATGAGAGCCTTCAGTTTCAACCAACTTCATTGAATGTCCTTGGAATCTGAAGTTAAGAGCGTCCTTAAGACCAGTGTTGCAGATTCTGTACTTATAGGTTTTTCCCGGCTTCATTGTGAAGAGTGGCTCATCGGTTCCGTCACCCTTAGCGTTTTTACCGTTCATGATAACTCCGGTAGGTCTTCCAAGAGAACGACCACTGTCCAACAACATCTTCAAAGATTTATGAGACTTTCCGAACCAATCGCCAATAAGAACCCAGTATTCATCTTCAGGGTCAAGATAAGGAACAGGGATCAACAAACGACTGAAGACTCTAAGACCACCGAAACCACCAACGGCTCTTTGAAGACCGGTGGTAGGGTAGTAAAAGTAACTTCCGATTTGATCCTTCACTTGAAACTTATAGGTGTAGTTAGTTCCGGGAAGGATAGGGCAAGAAGTACCAGGGGTACCGTCTTGCCATGAATTCTTCCTCTGTTGAATACCGTGCCATGTGAAAAGCAGTGGTTCATCAAGGTTGTTGAACACATTAACGACAACGTTGTTGTTACTTGTGCTGTTAATTTCAGGTCCTGGAAATTGACCGTTGATGAGGATACCCTGCTGGGGAACTCCAAGAGGTGAAATGGTACCATAGGTAACATTCCACGTGAAGTAGAGATAAGGGTCTTCACCGTAGACGGTGACGCCTAGGAGGCATAGCATCAAAGCCACCACAGCTCCGCGACCCATTTTATTTATTTTTTATTGAAATAAAAAAACAAACTAATAAATAGATACAAGAAGACAACCCTTTCCTATCTCCTTCTTGTATTGGAAGAAGAAGAAGATAGTTGTTGTTGTTCTTTGCAATCATGTGTTACCCTTTTATACCATTGCTTCAATGTTTTTACACCGTTCAACTTTTCTGTTTTCCGAAGTTTTCTCTCGTCCGTTCCTGGTTATTAGCATCACCTTATCTATCGCTCTACTTCTCGTTTTTTCTTCCTTGAATTGTTCTCTATTTTTATATGTTTTTCTTCTCGCCATTCATTGTTTCTCGCATCTCAACGATTTTCTAACGTGCAAAACGGACAAGTTTTGTTGATTTTCCACCTTATTATTATATCAATGCCTCCGGTTATATTATGGTACGTTGGTAATATGTCAATATACATTTGTACAAAAAAAAGTTTATATAAATTTGCACCAAAAAACTCAATTGCATGACTTAATTCAACAAAAAATAAAATATACATGACTTAATAATAATCGTATTATAGTACTTTTATTTATAATTTCATTTTCTGCTGAGAACAAAACTTTGACATAATATTAATTGTTGATAAAAGGAAAATTCAATAAAATGCATTCACTATTTATTAATTATTGTTCTTCTATCGTTTTTAACTCAGTATTTTTGTTTGTTTCTATATTAGAAGAGATGCACAAGTTAAACCATTTCATGTTATTTCATGTCATGCACGTATTGAGTTGCATAATACACGTGTGTAGTAATGATGCAACATAAATGGGTGTTAATGTTTTTTTTTTAATAAGCAAAATTGTATTCAAAATAGAGTATTGAGGGGTACTCAAAACTCGAATACAAATATTATTCAAAATAGAGTATTGAGGGGTACTCAAAACCCGAATATAAATATTAGACCGATAACAATTACAACACTCATTAATTACATAAAATTTAGAGAATTTTTAGACTATTCATAAAAGTTACATATAATTTTCTTTTTAGTTCCTATTGCTAACCACCACCATGAATACATCTTCATATTGTGAACTGTAATGTCTCCCACGCCGTTGTTGAATAAAATTTCATTATGTTGTCTCCAAATGCACCAACAAACTGCCAATCAAATGACTCCCGGTCTTTTATTATGACATGTACTTTTCAAATTCTCCATCAGACATTCTGTCTCCCTCCCAAGATTTATTTCCAACCAGCTGACTACTTTCCCCCAAACCTCTTTTGCTCTATGACAGTTAATAATTACATGATTGATTTCTTCTAGTTGACCACACCCAAAAGCACAAAAAGTATCATGAGTACTCAATACAATTCCTCTTTTTACCAATTGAACTTTTGAAGGGAGTCTGTCATAAATCAGTCTCCATCCAAAAAATTTAACCTTTAATGGAACCTGCGCCTTCCAAATCACTGATAAAGCGACCTTCTCCAACCTATTCACCACAATAGTGATCGAATCCCTAACCAGCCAAGCATAAAAAGAACAAACAGAGAAAAAAAATGAGAATTTTTCAACGACCAACGAAATTCATCTCTCAAATTCCTTTGGTTCGACATGCTCTAGAACAACAGATAATTTCCTCATTTCAGCTAAAACATCTTGACACAGATCCCTTACATTATCTTCTAAATGCCACACCCAATAATCTTTCATCCAACTTCACATATTTCTCACACTACAATTTACATTCTCCACATAACGATATAAGGTAGGGAAAGTGTACCTGAAAGCTTTGTGACTCATTCATCTCAAGTTCCAAAATGGTGCATTAACATCATTACTCAATTTAAAGGACAACACCTGCAAAAAAACCATCCTCTTCCAACGAATATCCAAATGCCCTTAAGTCTCTCCACCATAATGACTCCATTGATTTCCTACCACTACTCTTTTTGAATATAATTCAATCTGATAGACGACCATAACAATCCTCCAGAACCCCCCTCCAAATTGCATCATGTTTATTTAGAAATCTCCATAGCCATTTAGACATTAAAGCCTTATTGAATAAATCCACATCTTTTACCCATATCCCCTCATCTTTCTTATTACTACAAATAGTTTTCCAACTTATCCAATCAATGCTTCTCTTTTCCTCAGAATTATGCCACAAAAAGTTCTCTGAATTCTAATAATATCCTGCACCACTTTGGTAGGCATTTTGAAAAAATACATTTGATACAACGACAAATTAGTAATGACAGAATTCAATAATGCAATCCTTCCCCTTATCGACGGCAATCTCCCAAGCCAAGGAGATAGTTTTGCCTTCATACTTGACAACACCGGACTCCAAAAAACAACTCTTCTCTGATTTCAACTTACTGTTAGACCAAGGAACTTAAAAGGTAACTTGTCCAATTTACAACACAAGAATTCACCAGCAGCTTGTAGGAATGCATCGTTAATACTAACTCCAAAGAGCTTACTCTTCCACATGTTTATTCTTAACCCCAAAACCATCTCGAAACCTCTCAAAATTAATTTGATGGCCAACAAATTTTCCAAAGACCCTCCCCCCACTATTATGGTATCATCGGCGAATTATAACAAATCATAGGAGACTTGACCATTAAGAGAAAATCTAGAAAAATCACCCCTAGAGATGGCCATTTGAACCATACCTGTTGTACCCAAAAATTTTCCCTCTCACATATCAAGGATTTCCTCACAAGATCTCTTAGACTCAAGACTGCATTAGGGTTTGATCAGCTCAAGACACCTCCTCATGCACTGATGACCAAAATTAGGGTTTGAGTTTGCACAAGGATTTTTGGACTATCAATGCTTCATATGACTTTCAAGGATCATTATGGACCCCCAAGATTACTCATGTCAAGTTTCAAGCTCTGAATCACATTTTTGATCAGTCAATTGAACAGTTGACCTAAAAATCAGTTGTATTGGAAAAAAGTCAACCATGGCCAATTTTCAGTCAAAACTTCATAATTTTTTATCCACATCAACATCTTAGACTCATATGTATCATTTAATCAAGTTTGGACCATAATTCCCCAAGAAATTTGATCAAATCATTAAAAGGGCAAAATGGTCAAAATTAGGGTTTTGATTGAGAAGGGGAAATTTTTGATTTTTGACCTAGAAAATGGTTAATTGGTTTAAGACATGATCTCAAGAATTAAATTGCATCATCTTGACCTAATGACATGATTCAAAACATTGCAAATCCATTGGATTGACAGATGAATTTTTCAGTCAACTGATCAAAAGTCAACTGTGCACTGAAAAGTCAAACTTTGACTTTTTGGTCAAATTCAAGTGCCAATGATCATAATTCATCAAAACATGAAACTTGTTCATCAAGAAACCAAAGAATTAAGATTTGGATTTGAAAAGTTAAAAAATTCTAACTTAGAAAATTTTCTAAGTATAGAAAATTTCTTATTTTTTCTCAACTTTAGGCCAAATTTTCACCATGATACAAAATGATTCAAAGGAAGTTCCCAACATGAAAGTTGTAGATATCCATGAAATATACAACTTTGCTTCACACAATATTTCCTAAAGATGCTTGGATTTCAAGATATGATTTTGTGAATACATGCTCATGAACTAAAATAACTTAGTGAAATTTTGCCCTAGTTAGGCAGGTTTTTGACCTAAATTCATGGCAACCTTTCACCTAGTTCCAAGAGGAATCTTCAAAAGCATTTGAAATATGGGTTGTAGAGCACATTACAAGTTTTCCAAAATGTCCAAGAACTCCTTGAGATCATTCTTGAGTAGGGAGAATCGAAGAGATGAAGTTGGCAATTTCTCACTTTGATTTCAAACCATTTCATGAAGAACAAGTTTTCAAATTTACAAATTGGTTTTACAATCTTCACTTTTTAGGCCTCAAACTCATTTGTCACTCCACCATTAATGAATTGCACAAGGTTTCATGCCCTAAAGCCAAGCATTCAATGCATTGTACAAGGAAATAGCCATTTTTGGAAGAAAGGCAACATTGTCATTTTAGAAAAGCATGCTTTTTTTATTTTTTCATTTCTTGAGCCTTGGACTTGTTCTTTCTGCACAAACCAAGTATCTAAACCTGAGAAAAACGTGTTTAGAGCTTCAAGCCACCCTATAAGCTCAGATTGATGCCTTAAGAAGTCACTTCTCACACTTGCTTCAAAAATAAGAAATGTAGCAAGACATGTGATCTTGTACTTCTAAGCAAACACAAGTCCTCTAACCTCTTGCTCTATATAAAGCCATCATTTTGCAACTAAAACCATGCATGCCCAAGCCTTGAAACACCTTAGAATCATAAATTTCATAAAAAGCCTCCAAACCTGCCATTTCTGACTTGTGAACTGAATCTTCCATTCCACTCGTGCGTTTTTAGGCCTTTTGCTTTCCCAAGCTTCCTTATCATATAAGTAAACTATCCCACACCCTGAAACACCACTGTAACTCCATCTTCCCCATTGTTGAAGTTCAAAAACAAAGTAACACAGGTGGACTTCTCCAGATCATTTAAGCCACCCTCAAGACAAGCTAACCATTGCATTAGCTTCCTAGAGGTTCAAGGAAGCTAACCTGATCATCACAGCATCCTAAAACAAGCTCATTTACAAAACACGATTTCCATTTTCAAGGTGAGTTTTCTGTTTTTCTAACTCTTGATACAAGCATAGTTAGCTTTCCATTTGTGAATATAGAATGTAGACATCATTGCTACAAAGCTGTACATATCCATAGCTTGCATTTATTTGGCTTGAGTTTAGAGAATTTTTAGTTTGAAGTTCCTGGAAAAATTAGGTTAAGAATTAGGGCCAACAAAATTCTCTCTGATCATGGACTTATAGTTTTAGTTATGCACATGGTTGGAATCGTGAGAGAAAATTCTATAATGCTCATGTTATCACTTTCCATTTTTATTGAGAAATGAAAGAGTTACAAGAGGTCTGGCTGGCCAAAGGTTAAAGATGAAGTACAAGGCAAGGAAGCGTTTCATGTTATGTATTTTTGTTT